AGGTTGACTGTGGTACGTGGAAACACGAACAGAGACGCTTTAAGAGTTTTAGTGGCATGTTTACATCTGTTCCAGTGGATAAGTCCAATTTCTCCAAATGTCGAAATCAATAATTCAATAAACATTTTACATATTGTCAGGTTCACAACACAAACACACACACACCCGCCATCACCCTTTGGCCCGCCGAATTCATATCTGGGCGACCACCCTCGGGTGGCCAGAAATGTCGGCGCCACAGAAAGAATGAGACTTAAATATTACACACCAGCAAATAGTAGACAGTTTATCATTCATCATAGGAACAACTTTTCAAATAGAGCAGGTTAAGAACCGTAAAGGGAAGACGAGAATTTGGAGGAGCACCTTTGTAATTAAACCCTATTATTCTATGAGACCCAACAGTACCACCATGAGCAAGACCTTTGGAGACAGGGGCAAGGAAAAACTGACCTTTAACAGGGCAGAAACCTAGGACAGAGAGAGAGAGAGACAGGAGACGATTTGAGAGAGAGAGACAGAGGAGAGAGGGCAGAGAGAGAGAGAACAGAGAGAGACCCACATCAGACTGATATCAGACTGACCTCCGCCTGACTTTAGAGTTAAACAATCAGTAAGAAGACTGAACCCTAGCATGCAGCAGCGCTGTGTTACAAGAGGAAAGGTCCGTGTTGCAACAATCTCATTGCACCACTAACAACACGTAGCTCCACTGATATAAATTAGCCTCCCGACTACTCCGACCTTCACAGACCAGTGAAGTACAGTCAGTGTTAGTGTCTGTGACCTTTGACCTCTGTGTTACCTGTTCTTGAGTCTGTGCTTCATTCATAAAATGGGCTGATTGGTTGCGACGGCTTCCTGTTTCTGATCAGGTCACGCTGCCGAACTCGGCGTCTCTTCTCTGTTTGATAAACTCACAGTCGGCTGACGGCCTTCACAGGATTTAACGCTCTGATACGTCCAGTGCTGCGCGGCCTCGTTAATCCAGCAGGAAGTGGATTTCCATCCTGATGGCGAAGGAGGCGGGGTGTGACGGGCAACGGAGGCGGCAGCACGAGGAGGAGGAGGTTTAAATTCAGACTGTTTCTGATTTCTGCTAGAAAATCTGATGAATGAGCAGCCGGGCGCCCAAAT